TTAATCACTACAGAGTGGTTGTTTATACAGATGACAGCTACTACATTTAATGCCAAAATAGATTTTTGAAAACTTTTTATAACGTGAACAGATTTATTTTTTTAAAAAACGGAGCAATCTGAAGCTGTAGTGTTAATATCAGTATGCATTTCAGTTACCTCTACTCTCCTCAACTGTTTCTTCTGCCTCCTTTTCTCAGGTGATATTGCATCCATATTTCTTTGAGCTGTGCAGGAAGCCCTCAGCCTCTTTGGCAATGGTGCTGTTTCACATGCTGAAATATTGGCACAATTGTGGGTGTGGATTTCATTGTCTGTTAGTCTTGAGACAAGCTTCCTCTTGAGAGTTGTGAAGTGAGCATCTTTAAAGCTGTAGAAAAGCTATTTTTTTCAGAGGGGAGGTGGGTGAAGATAAAGTATTATGGCAACCCTTGGGATGTTATTTACTTGCTATGAGTGGTACGGACCCATAATTCACAAGCGAGTTATAACTCATGCCGGACATTGGTTCTAATTTGTAGTTCATGTGTCTTTGTGATGCATTCTGTTTTATACCAACTTTTAAATGTTTTAAGTTGGGTGCACATTATACGCTTTCTTTCCAGTGTTGTTGGGAGATAATCAGTCTATTGTTTCAAGTGGGTTTACAATATTTGCAAAATCCATTCAAAGAGAATGTTCAATTGGAAAATGGGTCTTGTAATCAGAATGTGAGGCCTTCTCTGGAAACATGTAATGGAAATGGCTTTGTCACAGATGGTATAAGAGGAAATTTGTATTTATACAGTTTAGGCTTTTTTTAAAAAAAAGCATTTTGCACAGTGTGATTCTCGCATCTGAATTTAACCATTACTACCACTTCTATCAAACTGTGCTCTGGTACTCATCAAATGAAAACTGGTAATTTATGATTTTGATCCGTTTGTCAAAGCAATACTTTGATGCACCACACTAGGTTGTGGTCTAGAGGTTGGTGGCAATGCACTTATTTACGCATCTTAAGTTGTATTCACCAGGCAGAGATCCTGGTACCTACTGTCTGCCGAGTGAGGACTTGTGTGCTTGTTAAATGCCTAATGACCAACATTAGGGTAGAGTGGGGGTAGAGAGAGGAAGTAAGCAGGGAATCTTTGGGGCTAATACTTTGAAGCTGATTCCTGGCAATATTATATTGAAATCAAATTGATACTCTATGGGATCTCACTTATCCAATACTTAAACTAGGCAGATCAGCATTACTCCAGGGCACTGTTAATGATATGCCAGTTTGCAGTTATGCCAGTTAACCAGTGTTGGAGAAACAGACCAATCACTGGTTACTGGGATTCTTCCTACTCGCCTCCTCTTATCTCAGCAAGCCAAAGCCCTAACAGATAGTTTAATTCTAGTCTGTTAAGCAGCAAGAAGCTTGCGAGCACGCACAATGATAGGCTGCACGGTTAGTGTGTTAAACTCTAGCAGTATCCCCAGTGCACACTGTAAGTTCACCAAACCTTTCCAACTTGCACTTAAATCTTTCGGGATTTGGTAAGCAGCATGCATATCTCAGATAAATGGAAACCATACATATTTGAAGGTCTCTGTACTTGGTTTGGATTCTCTTAAGTATATTGGTTTCCATGTGTGTCCGAGATTCAGTTGAGCCCCCCAAAAATGAAAGGATGATAAATTCCTGTTGAGGTACTCAGAAAATTCGCAGTAGCTTGGCTTGCATTCTCTCCCTTCAGCAGTATTTTCTCTTCCTTTAAAACAAAGGGCTGAGAACATTCTTGGCAGATTCATTATCTGTAACATCACTTTGATGAAAAACGTGATGTACTGATCCCTTTAACCTTGACTAACTTGTGGTAATTGTGCATTCATTTGCCTTCAGGATATTTTTGTGCTGTATTTAGATGAATAATAAATTGCTTGTTTTGTATATTGAAGTAAGAGTGAACATATTTAATGGGTTTATTTTTGGCCAAGTACTTCCAAGGTTCAATGTGTGCATTCCATAAAGCAACTTCAGTTCTTCAATTCGAGATTAAGTTTACAATGTAGAAAGTTTTTTTTTCTACCCACTAGAAATTTTCATCTGAGATTCAGAATATGCACTGTGCTGATTTGGCGCATATTATCCTTTATGATGGACTATTCTGGCCTCAATATCTGTAATATTTCCGCATCATTTTTCCTCTTCTACCTTCCCCTCCCCACCAAAAAACTAATTTGCCTTTTCATCCTTCTAATGTAAATGAAGCTCAGTGGGAAATGTTAATACGTTTAAATGAGGCTATATGGCTAATTCTGTAGGTCAAATGTGATGTTGATTTGTGACCTTTCTATGACTAGGGTGTTGAAGCTAAAGGGATAATCTTACTTGAGAAGCTATATACTTCTAAAGGTTTAGTACACAAATAGTTATTAAAACAAGCTTTTATATGTATGCATAGTATCACTCGTTCTTTTGTGATGATCCAATTGAAGTTTCAATGAGATTAATGCCTTATTTTGCAAAGGCAAGATTCTGATAATTAATGTTGTGTGATTTTGATGGAATACCTGGAGACTATTGTAACAGATTTGTGTGTGCAGGCAATCTGTTCACGTGAAGCATCTTATTATGGATTCCTTTTTAGTTTTCAAATATAAATCCATGTATTGGTCATAAATTGGTAGCTTCCTCTTAGGTGGATTTTTAAGGACAAGCCAATGTGATTGTTAAAGCAGGACATGTCCTTTAAATGAATCGTGTTAAGTTGAGCTGCCCTAAAAATGCATGAGATTAGATCTATTCTATGAGACTTTTGCACATATTTATAGCTAAGCCCCTTGGCACTCAAAGCACTCATATAGTATAAATGTCAGCCTGGCTCACTTGGTAGTGCTCTAGCCTGTGAATTAGAAGGTTGTAGATTCAAGGCCCATGTTGGGACTTTGAGCTCACCTAGTCCAATATAATGCTGGGATGTGGGGGAGGGGGCACGGGCTCTGCATTGTCGAGGGTGCCGTTTTCATATAGGACTTTAAACTGCGATCCCATCTGCTTATTCAGGTGGACTTCAATAATCCCTTAGCTTGGTTATGTTACTGTCGCAAATGGTTATGTTACTGTCGCAAATTGTTTGCCGTTTTTGGCTACAATTATGACTGACACCTGCAATACAATAAATCCAAATTACTATAATAATAATAATTCTTTCATTTAGGATCCTAGCGCATCAATTTACATTTATAAAGCGCCTTTCAAATCTGAAATACAACAGAGGTTGCTGGGAACATTCAATGGGTCAGACAGCATCTATGGAGAGAGGAAAGTGAGTTAACGTTTCAGGTCGACGGCCTTTCGTCAGACCATTATCGACCTGAAACGTTAACTTACTTTCCTCTTCATGGATGCTGCCTGACCTGCTGAGTGTTCCCGGTGACTTCTGTTATTACTTTTCTATATTTTCAAGTTGGTAATTGTCGCACACAAAAAATGTGGTTTTAAAGTACAAATGACTACTGTCTGGCATGGCCAAAAAATGACATGACTTGTGGTTTAAGTAAAAAGAACCTGCGCTGAGCCATAATCATGTGTGTGATATAATTGGGACTGTGATGTTTCTACTTGCATCTGGTGTGTTATTTAATGGTGGTGTATATTTTCCCTCTGCTTCAAGCAGGTGTTTATTAAAATGAATTACAAATGACAATTTCTCTGATCAGATTTAGGACACCATAAGATAGCAATATCGAGACCAGAAAGGATTATTCAAAACATGATAAAATTGCAGAACCGAACAATCTCAACAAGAGCTTGAATTCCATATTCTAGTAGATATCTAGTATTGACTTAAAAATAATAATCTTTGCATTTAATATAGCACTTTATTGCGTTGATTAAATATCTCAAAGCACATCATAGGATTTACTCTGAAGTGTACTGATTTGGATTTGTAGTTGAACATGGCAGTCAATTTGTATCCCGCAATTTCCCACATAGAACAATGAGATGAATGACGATTTACATTTTATACAGTGCCTTTCATTTCAGGAGAATGTCTCAAAGTGCTTCACACAACCCACTTGGGTGCTTAAGTTTCGGGAAGCGGGGAGGGAGAGAAGGTTCCTGAAAGCAGTTGAAAAGAGATGTCTGGAGGGTGGGGAGGGGAAGACAAAGGTGGAAAGATTCTGGGTTGGAGCCCAAGAGAATGGGGCAGATTCACTGGATGCTCACCCACTGATGGTAGGGCTGATTGAGTAGGGGATGTCAAACAGATTGCCAGTTGTGGGGTTGCAAAAGGTCACAAAGTTAGGATAGGGTGAGGTCATGAAGGGAGTGTAGGGTAGGTCCTGGGGGTCTGGCAAACAGGGCATTGAAATCTTGAGTCTGGTTGTGATGGAGATGAGGGTCTCAGTAGCCGGGGGGAGAGATAATGGTGGAGTCGGATGATGTTGTGGAAGGAAGAGAAAGATGAGCGATTGAGAGCAATGATGTAGGGCTTCAATTGCGGACCAATATTTATTTTGGTTGGTTAGGACACCGGGAGAAACTCCCTACACTTTGTGACGAGTGCCAAGGTGATATTTGTCCACCTGAACAGACAGACGGGACTTTGGTTTAACATCCCATTTAAAGGATGGCACTACTGAGAATCCCACACTTCTCCTCTCCCTCTCCCTCATCGCTATCCCACCCCAGCTTTAGGGGTGTCAGCCTATACTGTGAGCTCAAAGTCCTGACTCTGAGGAGAGAGTTCTACCATACACCTAATGTCCCATTTATTTGTGGTTGGTGCTGCCATACTCTTCAAGCGAACTAAGCACAGACATAGTTCATGTCGAGTTCCACTCTGGGTGTTTTTACCCAAAGAGGCTCCAGGGGGTTAGGAAATGCATGTTTCACTTGATAAGGTGACAAGGTTCTGTTTTTTTTACACAATCGTTATAATGACGTATTCACAACATGTTTGAACACCAGTGTGATGACTGGAAGTTTCTTTGCTGACTAACATTTTTTTTCTTCTTATCCAGACAGAAATAGCGAAAAGATTGAATACAATTTGTGCGCAAGTTATCCCCTTTCTGTCTCAGGAAGTAAGTAAACATATTGGAATATTTGGTGTTTAAAGTACAATTATGTGGGTCTTAATTTAGTGACAAAAGATGTTAATTTTGTCTCAAATGATGACTGTTTTATATATTGGTGTTTCGGGGGGTGGGGTGTAAACCACCTGATAACTTTAATATAACAGGCGAGGATTGTGCATATCCTATCAAACCGGTTTCTGGTTTTATATTCATTGGAATTTTCCATTAAATGGACACCAATTAGGCCAAAGTTTGCTTCAAATTTAAAATGTACGTTTATTGAATGTCAGTAAATGAACACTTTGAGGAAGAAAACTTATGATTATCCTTTCTACTTTGATACCCCCTTCAATAAAAAGCCCTCAAATACTGCCCAAAGGCAAAACCGAAAAATTGTAACTGAGTTACATCTCTAAGCAACATTGGGATGTAATTTGCTACATTCACAAGCCGGATTTGTTGCTTTCATTTTAACTTCCTGTTTGTGAGATGCACAGCCAGCAAATTGACAGTTGACTAAGTTTGAAACCATGTCAGTCAGCAAAACCAACTTTGCCAACTTGGCAATTGTGCCAGTCATGAATTTCACAAACCACAAATTATAATTGACGCAACTAATCAGGGTTTTGAACATTCCACAATAGACTCACGGCTTTTAGGGGCAGGTGAGATGAGTCAAATCTGCATCGCTGTTGTGATGTGCCTTTCTGCATTGTAACTGTAGTGGTGGTCTTGTGGACCTCCAGTTAGCATTCGGAGTCCTGTAGCTCAGTGGTTAGAGCACTCGCTTTGCAAGTGAGAGACCTGAGTTCAATTCCAGGCAGAGGGCGGAAAGCCTAATAATAATCCCTCCAAAAAACCAAAAACAATAATTAATTGGTCATTTTCAATCTACGACTGTTTGTGGGACATTGCTGTGCGCAATTGGCTGCCGCGTTCGCCCACAAATATACAGTCAATTCACTTTACAGTGTGTTCTGTGAAGCGCTTTGGGACGTCCTCCCGACGTGAAAAGCGCTATATCAAATGCAAGGATTATTATTATTATTGGTGAGCAGACTAGGCCCGGCCTCTCACAGACTTAAAAAAAATGGATTGTTTGAGACGCTGCTAACGTAGCTTCTTGCACGCTGATTTCACTTTGCAAAGAAAGTGATGCTGGTGGTGCTTTGATTTATAGGACAAATATGCAGTGCACAGAACGTTACCTGGAAGTTGGGCAATTATGCGGGAAACCGGTATCCATGAAGCAACTCACAAGAACTGTGGAGAACCGGAAGTGGGGTGTTTTTTCTATTTTGTTATGAGTCATCCAGACAACCATGTTACAACTGGCTAAAATAGTGCTTATGGTGCATGAACGTATGCACTTTAGCTTACCTGTAAACTTCAACAATAAGTTTTGGAAATTCAGCACAGTAAATGATTTAACATCATGAATCTTTCTCTAAACTAGCATCAGCAGCAGGTGGCACAAGCAGTGGAGCGTGCAAAGCAAGTGACCATGGCAGAGCTGAATGCAATCATCGGGGTACGTGGGCTTCCCAGTCTGCCTCTTACAGTGTGTATACCCATCTTATTAACTTATTTTTGTGTGTTCTATTTTGTGTTTGTGTGTGCAAAAAATACATTTTTGATGCTTAAATTTGCAAATCCTGTAAAATGTTAAGATTTTACACCTAGTCCAGACAATAGCTTTAGGAATAACTTAAATTTATTTTGGGTGTAGAACATGTGTAAACAATGCACGGAAAATGCCCTACTTCCCAGTAACTTCAGATTTACCCACAAATGGTTGGTGCCTTGTCAAAAGCCTTCTTTTCAATTCCACTGTAACTGCAGCGTTATTTATTTCTACTTGCCAGCAGCAGATAGTCAATCACACATGATGTATTAAAGTAATGAGCTATGTATACTATTAGCTGCCAAATGGGTACTGTTGCTTCTCTTTCTTCTCCCTCCCCCTTCCCCGCCATTAACATCAGCATTTGAAAATAATTATTCAGTCTCGATATTTTCCCTCTTGCTTTAAACAGAGTCTGCTGTCATAAGGGCTCTCCTTTTTTAAATTTTATTCATGCATGAGAGGATTTGGCAAATTCAAATTACTCATTTATCAATTTATGTTAATTGCTCGTGTGAAGATGCCCTGCTGATTTTTATCGTTCTCGGAGACACTTTGTAATGATAATTAGACATGCCGCTGTAAGGATTAACACTGGCAAAGACCAATGACGTCTATAGACAAAGAGACCAGTTAATCCATCTGTGCTCAAAATTACATTCCAACTGGAGATTGAAAAATAAGAGCTGTGGATTAGTGCTGATAAAAGAATTGGACACAGCTTGAAAACTTTTCTTTCATCAGTTTCTCAATTGCAGATCTGCAGTCAATTTGCTATTGGCAGTCAATTAGGTGAAATAAACTGGGAGGGTGACCTTCATTTCCTTCTAATGGCTTTGTCCTGAAAACAGTGAGCATCGATGAATTTTAAGAGCACATTTTTCATGCTGTTGTTTTGCATGCATGTGATTAACTTAGCCTTGCATAAAAATCCATCCTCTTTCTTTGTACTTTTTTCTCTTTTGATTTTTGCAAAAACAATTAAATCCATATTGTAATTGAGAAATCCCTCATCCTGTAGTTCTCCCTCAAATAGGATATATTTTTAAATGGGGTGATGGGAGAAAAAATGACCACCACTTAATGTTTAGGGACATCCTCCTCAAGTGCAAGACACTATACAAATGTAAATTGTTGTTATTGTTAATGTCGGTCCATAGATGAATGAAAAGGCTAGTTCCCTCCTTTTGTTAATTTGTGATGCAACTAATAATATTTGTTGGGTATTATGGCATTAAATGGCCAACTTATACCGCTTTTACATTATGGATTTACTAGCAATGATGACAGATCTGCCAGTGAGATTGTAAAATGTTTTGAAGGATTACGTGTGCTTCAAATGCTGCCAAGACAAATGGGTTTATTTGATTGAACCAAATAAGAAATAAAGCTTTAGGTTTAGAAAGGCCATAACCATAAAACTGTTTTTTAATCCCTTTTTGTCTGCCCATAACTCCAACGTATTCTAAAACTAAGGCTAGCTAACTAAACCTATTTATTCTAGTCTTCTGTCTATTCCACCCAAACAGTAACTGGCACTTAACTTGCTAGCGTTTTTTAAAAAAAACCTTGCTCTGTTAAAAGTGGTAGGTTAAGTTTGAGAATGTGATAGATGGAGAACTAGGGTGAACTTGCCTTCTCTTCTACAACTTTTAAGGGAGGAAGGAAGGCTGCTGCTGTTACCCAAGCTGCTGTTACGTGCAGTGCTCTATAAAATCCATCATAATGGCAATGCTCTTTACCACAATATAACTCTATTCTAACATGCTTTGTTATAATGCGGGTTTGCTTATTGAGTTGTGGACCCTAACATTTTTACTCCCAAAATTCACCACTAATTCTATTGACACTTCAAAACATTGGCCAGCATATGAGAAGCCAAAATGGCCAACCTCCGAGTCGTCAGGATGTTGCTGACTGCATGCTGAGTGAGTGCGGTAACGCTGACTGACAGTCACTCCCTGTTTATGGCTTTGATCAGGATTTTATCGATCCTAACAACTGTTATTACCAGTCTCTTCTGTATCTGGCCCTGTTGTTCATTTTAACATATTGCAAGATATGTTTGAAGAACTCACAACCAATAGAAATGATTACTGCATTTTACAAATGGCGTGTCCTTACAAGGCCTGTTAGAGGCATTCAGTAGAAAGGTTACCACATATATTATATAGGGCAGGGCAAATGAAATGCTCTGAATTTAACATCAATGACTTTCCCTCAGCTAATTGAACTATTTTTTTTTTTTTTAAAAAAAAACTACTTTGAAGTAATGCAATCCTTGCACTTATTATTATAATATTCATTATTATCATTAATTCTGTTACCTGAGGTTAGAGAAGATATACTTCTCAGGTCAGTTTGTGCATCAAGTGCCAGTAGCATCCAAAGGAGATTTGAGTTGTGGTCATGACCAAGATCATTTTAGTTTAAACCACAAGTGTTTTTGACATTGGATGGAATACCTTGCTTAATGAAGCTTTAGAATGTGATCTCGTATGAAGTCATGAAATTCTTGGTTTGAAGTGGACATAATGAACCGTTCCCATTGAAGGGTGAAAAAAATCCAGTACTGGTAGTTTGAAAGTTCTAAGGATTGTGTCGTTAGATATTGACTGAATGAGTCTTGTTTAAATCTATATGGTTTTGGAGTCTTTTATATTTGAGAAACTTGGGTGAATGGTTAAGGTGCCCTGGTATATTAAAATATACCACCAAAGTAAAGGTTGGGGTGGGGGGAACATTACATTAGTCAAGAACAGCAGTTTGTATTAGACTTTTGTGATAGCTATTAGACTTACAAGAGATATGAAGAAGTGAGGAAAAACAAAATTATCATTGCCTTGTTGAAGGGCATGGGAGAGATTGAGTAATTCAGCCATTGCACAATGAGAGTAGTGAAGATTGTGTGTATTGAGAATGATCCTAAAAATGTAGTATATTTAGAGTGGAATCCTCAGCAAGAGTCGATATGCCTGTTTGATAAGGGGAAGAGGCCATTCGTAAGGGAAAGAATGCTCTTGACCTAATTAGGAAAAAGGTCAAATAAATAATGAACTACACCTACCTAATGCAATTTGAGGTCAGAGTTACATCCCATGGGATGAAGATCGATAGAGAAAATAGTAAACTTTCTCAAAAAGAGCTAGCGATTGATGGGAAGAATGACAGAAAGATGGTATTGACGCAAGTTTTGAGATAACTTTGGCAAATGCCCAGAAGGAACTATCGCTGAAATAGTAGGAAGACAACAGTTAATGCTGCTTTCAATCTAGTTGCATTTAGCAACTTTTTAATAGACGATTTATATAAATTGCAAGGAGAGAGTGTAGGGTGAACTTGCCTTCTCTTTTAAGAAATCCATTTCCTGCAATTCCGGTGCTTGCTGGTAAATTTGCATATGGTGCCCGGTCAAAACAGGAGTGGAGTCCTGTAACAGCTCAGTGGTTAGAGCACTCGCCTTGCAAGCGAGACACCTGGGTTCAATTCCAGGCAGGGCAAAACCTTAGGCAAGTTTCCTTACTCCACACACCTAATAATAATCCCTCCAAAACAAAACAATAATAAATTGGTCATTTTCAATCCACGACTGTTTGTGGGACATTGCTGTGCGCAATTGGCTGCCGCGTTCGCCCACAAATATGTGGTCAATTCACTTTACAGTCTATTCTGTGAAGCTCTTTGAAGACGTAAAAAGCGCTATATCAAATGCAAGGATTATTATTATAAAACTCATTGAATCGTGGGAAACGTATTTTAACCCATCCGCATGCACACTTACCATCCGCAGTGCCGAACTATCGCATTCGCACTTACCGGCTCATTGAATTACTCATGCTCAGTGTAGATTATTGATTAAATCTGATTTTATTCGATTTATACAGTTAGCCTGCAAGTTGGACTTCGCCTAAGTCATTAAATCTTATGCGCCCGACTGATATGACTTATGTGCATTTTACCGTATTAACATGATGACAACTTTCAAAGGGTAGTGGAAATCTGGAACTCTCTCCCTCAAAAGACTGTGGATGCTGGATCTATTCAAATTTTTCAAGACTGAGGTGGATAGTTTTTTTAGGTAAGGGATATGGGGCTAAGGCGGTTATTTGGAGTTGAGGTACAAATTAGTCATGATCTAATAGTGGAACGGCAGAACAGGCTCGAGGGGCTGATTGGCCTACTCCTGTTCCAATGTTCAAAAAAAAAGCTCAGCTTTAAGATTGGTCATGTACCCTTTATTGCTCTTCTGCAGTACCCTAAACCATTTATAAAATGAGTCTTGTTCGACTTGTTCCACATCCTTTTGCCAATCTATTTAGGGACTTGCTTTCTAGATGAGTCCAAATCATTTTGTGATCCTCTCTGAATTTCTGTGAGCCTATTAAGTCTCAAAGCAACCTTATCAAAGTGTCTGTTTCAATGGACCCACGCTAATTTTGAAAGGTTTCAAAATATCTTTGTAAACTGAATTAGTAATTATATCTTTCCTTCCTTACTTCCCCAAAATTGTTTGTCTCGTTTGAGGAGTACTTCAGCTCTGGAAATTTTGCTGCGTGTTTTTTTATATAAATTTTAAAATGTTTAGTTTTCATAGTAATCCTGCTGAGTTTCTCCAGTCAAGTGGCCATTTTCAGCATAAGAGTTTAAATAATTATCCTATGCTCTACAATTGGTTTCATGCTCTTGACACATGCTTGATTTTGGCCTGAAAGAGATTGTGCGCATCCTGACAAACCAGAGCAGCGTAAAATTGGGTTGACAATTTTTAGGGGACCTTTGCTCCCCATCATTGAACATGCAATGTGTGTCAACCTGTCTCCCCGGGGCAAACGGACAACAGAAGTCTATCTATTCAAACTCGCAGCAGCTGCAATGCGAATAAATGCTGACCCATTTTATCGCAGCTGCCTGCGTGGTGAAGGGACATGACCTCGTGTTAAGGACAATGGGGGTCATGCACTAAAAATGCTGCCAGTTAGACTAAAAGGATAAAATGTTTCTCCTTAAAGTCCACTTTTCGTTTTTTTTAAAAAAAATTGAATGCTATCTGGCTTCCAAGTTCTCTTTTCAGTTTCTTTCTGACAGCCTGTGTTTGTCTCTCCTGTCAGATTAAATGCTCATTTGTCAACCACTGCTAATATAGGTTTAATTAGCAATCCTTCCGATAAGTGTTATTTTTTCCCCAATGGGCAGGAGAAACTCATAAATATCACTTATTTAACAGAGTTTAATTAGCAACAAGCAGTGACAATTCAGGTGTCTTGTTCTTTTTGGAAAGCAAGCTGAGAACTTTAGGGGTATTTCAATAGCAATGGGTGGTGCAGATTAAAGCAATGCAGAGTTAACCCTTTCAAAACTGCTCTCTAGTGTAAAGGCATTATGTGAAGGTGTCATAGTTCTGTGTGTCTGGAAGGCCAGACAGATGGCATTTCACAACGTTGAAACTTTTTTCTCGGTCATCACATGATGAGATTTGCCACAGGGTTAACAGATGTTGGTTTATTTTTCATCCCTCAGTAGTAACACCCAGCTATCTCGGGTGTTATACCGTGAGAGGCTTAAGAGGATGGGGTTAACCTTTTGAGGTTTTATTCTTGTGATTAATTGGTTAATCTTTCACTGCCCTATAAATAACTTGACTGAGGACATGTGATAAGACAGACAAAACCAAATGCTGTATGAACTGCAGTACTTGATTTTTAAAAACAAAGTGTTTGGTATTGAGCAATGGATATTACTGATTCAAGCTGGAAAGGAAGGGAGTAGATGAACTGTAGTTTTTTTGGTAGGGGGATGGGAGGAGCTGAAGAACATCTGGGTTGTTTGATGCATGGTGAATAGCAGGAGAGCTAAATTGTGAGTGTCTGCCTAATTGGGTGTTAGCAAGATTATTTGCCGTATGTTTTGATAACGGGTGATATCCAGCGGTGAGATCTCGTAAGCAGTCTTAAGCAAAAACCTCTGAGCATTGAAGTCCTGAGTGATGACCATCCATTTCCACTGCAGACTATGACCTGTTCTGTACATTGTGTGAATTTAAAGTTTTTCCATGGTGGGGGCAGTGGGTGCATAAAAGCCCAAGTGGAACCTATCGTTGCCGCTTTATCATTGGTTTAATTTTTGAGTGACCTCAAATCTAACCTTGCACTTTTTTCTAAAAGTCTAATTTCACTTCCTGCCCCCCCCACCCCCCACCATTATAACATACTAACCCCTACTTCTGATGTGGAAGCATTAATTAAATTAGGTTATTTAATCAAGTAAACACATTGGTACTCCAAATTGTCTATTTGTCCAGTTTTGTATTTGGCCCAAACACTGATCAGTAAGCTAGCCCTCCACACTTTGCAGTTCAGATTCAGAGACTGGCTTTCTTGAATGTTTAAAACCTAAGTAGTGTCTGTTATTTCATTTCAACCCTCCCTCAACCTGGTCTCACAAAAATAATCCTATTATAATCTACATTTCAATGGAGAGGGGTGGACAAATTAGCTTAATGCTCTTGCTTGTCGGAGATGAAACATTTCTGTTCTTGTAAGCTTCTTTGAGTTGGTGCTGTCACATAATCTGTCTGCATTCTAGTTATTTTCATAAGGTCTGTGGTTAATTGCTGTCAGTTCAGTTGTCTGTACATGCTTCATTGCTCCTTTCAAAAAAAATCGGACACAACACTTATAGAGAGAATTGGTGGTGGTAATTAGTAATGGTACTGACCTGTTACTTCAGTTTCAGTGAACATAGTTCCAATGGCAGGTGTCAAGTTTTTAATTGGGTACTAATGGGCATGGCTGGTAGACCATAGTGGCGTTATCAAAACCAGTTTCGTATTTTCCTTCCCTCTTCTTCCTCCCAACAATAATCGAGTACCACAGGGTTCTAATGCAGTTTTATACTGCAAAACTGAAAGAGGAGATGCAGACAGCTTGACTGTTTTCCTACGCCTGCTCAACTTACAGTTGTGAACTTCTAAAGAATTTGTACATGTACCATATTTCTGACACTATGGCACTACTTGGCAATTCTGTCATATTCAGTGTGTATGCAAGAAGGCCTCTAGTCCACAGTCTCCTACCCCCTAGCCACTGCCTTTCACTCCGACTCAACAACTTATCATTGTTTTAGATGGAATCATCTTACTGTGGGATAATGGCTGATCAGACTTTAAAATGGTCTGATAGAATATAGCGCTAAACATTTATTCACTTTTGCATTCTGGGTTACAGAAGTAGGCTTCAATCCACAGGCAAACTCAGAATCTAAAAGTGATACAGAATCAAATGGGCACTAATAATAATAATCCTTGCATTGATATAGTGCCTTATGTCTTCAAGATGCTCAAAATGCTTCAACGAATTTACTGTAAAGCGGTCCAAATGATATATTTTGTTTTGCAGACCTCTCAAGAGCTGCACTTGCTGTATCTACTTGTTAGATGTGTGTTGTACTTAATCCAATTTCAAAGTCTTTCCTACAATGCTGACTTCTTGTGTGCTAGATATCATTGATCTGTAGCTCCTTGCCATCTAGTACTTTCCCAACTGGCTATTATTAATTATAATCTTTGCATTTGATATCATGTTTCATCACGTCTTCGAGACGTCTCAAAGCGCTTCACAGAATATACTGTAAAGTGGATTGATTGTATATTTTGTGGTCGAAATGTGGCAACCAATTGCACACAGCAGTGTTCCACAAACAGTTGTAGATTGAATTTTTTTAAGGAATTATTCATATCAACATACTATTTGACCACGGATTGTCATGACTGAGTCCAGTCTTGTCCTTGTCTGACATCAAAAGCCTCTGAATCATCAGGAATGGGAACCTTGGCTAAGTTCTAAACTAGAGCTTGCTGAGGCCAATTAAGTACAATCTGGGGAAGACCACATAGGCCAGAAATGCACAGCGTAGGACTCTCTGACAAATGCCTCTTGGAAGTACTGAGAGAATGGCTTGTTCTTTCTATTTGCGTCCAGTTGCCTACAGAGTTGGGAATGAAAACTTGGCTCGGGATGCGGCAACCTCCTCCGCAAATAGCGATAGTTGTTCATTCATTTTGCAACTCTAAATGGGATTTCCGGTGTCATTTGTGGCGGGTTGCACCCTACCCTACTTACTGTGTGCTGTACATTATCCATACGTTAATTCCAATTATGATGACATGAACTGAATGCCATGTTGCTATTAGTTGCTATTTTTCTCCTTTTCTCTCATTGACTTTTCTTCTTCCCTCCCCCCAACCCCCATCTGAATGGGTTTTTATGGAACCGTTGGGTTTTATGGAACTATCTTGTTTCATGCAGCTGGAGATGCTGAAGGTAGTACTGGTTTTAAATTGTAATCTGCCTCTACCAGTAATGCAAGCAATGTAATCTATTAAATTGATCTCCGTTGCTGAAAGATCAGTTTTTGAACTTTGCAAACCAAACACTTAGGTATTATTCTGTGTATTTTTCACTAGCCTAAAGCCAACATTTATGTTGCAGACCTGCTGCTTGCAGCAATGTGAATAATGTATTATTGTTGCCTCTAGAGGTGTTTGTAGACCCACCCATGCAAGGCAGTAATACTGTTTTAGCATTGCTGAGCAGTATATAGTCTCTTCATTACAGATATTCCCAATCACAACTTCACAATCACTGTTCATGTGTAAAGTTTGTGTATGCAAATTTTTTGTGATGTTGTGGGTTCTGTCCCGTTGAGTAAATAAGGCAATGCCAGCACCAGCGACCTTAGTGTTTCAGAGCCAATTATGTTTAAGATGAAATACTCTGCAATCTAACCATGCTAGTCAGTACTTTTTAAATAACCATTCTTGAATGTTAGCAGCATTGCTTGTTTTCTGCCAAAATGATAGGCATTTCCATTACACCTATCGTGATTTCCTTTTCCATGGAAATGTCCATTGCTGCTGTTGAAATCAAATATCTATCATTATAATCAAGTTTCAGATGATTGGAAAGTGATATTTTAAGCGGGAAAGCTGTGCCATAGATTAGAAATTTACTGGAATAATTCTAGAATTATTTTGTACTGATATTTCTAAACTTTGTTTAGGAAGACATTGGAAGAGCTCCCTTGATGGTTGAGTGGGTTGTGGTGTACTGCTCTTTTATGGTCCAACTTCTGTAGTCTTTGACTGAGTTAATCTCAGCTGGGACAGTGGCAGTGTTTGCATTCCTACATGCTGTGCAGTACTTGAGCTAGATTTTGAGCGCAGTAGCGAGCTTAGTTTCAGTGACCCCCCCAAGATTGAATTATTCACTGTCCATACTTACTAATCAAGAAAATTCATTCACCTGATCATGTCTTTAGAGAGTCATTGTCTGAACTGTCTCTTGCATGAATTAAAGGGGTTGGGGCGAGGAGAGAATAAGAGAAGAAAGTGAGCTTGAAACCCATTTGAAATGAGTTTAGTGGTCTGATAACTTATCTGTACCTCAATACCCATACTACATTTTTTTGTAAAAGAACATTTTAAATCTTGAAGGGTATTATCTATTCACCATGTAAAACTAACATGATGTACTTACATCTACAACATAAGTGCTCTAAAATGGTGCAATCCTTTAGACTTAAGTAATATTCAATTCCATTATTTGGGTTTGCAAAGTGCAAATGTAAGGATTATTGCAATGTGTGTGTGTGTATATATATATATGTGTGTGTGTGTGTCTCTCTCTCTCTCTATGTATGTATATATAATATATGCATATGTATGTATATATATATTATACACACATATATATTGCATCGTACTGCTATGCAGGCAGATTATTTTTTATAGTTTTTTTATATATATATACAGATCAATGTATGTATTCACACATTCCCATAGTTAACTCTGGCTCAGGATTCTCATTATGTTTTATATGAATCTGTCAGAGCATATAAATCAACCTTGTATCTATTTTATGATCTAGAGTTGAGTTTTTAACTTCAAAATGTAATTGTGGTAAAATAGCTGGCTTTATATATTTAAAAATAGCAACAGAAATATACGTGTGCTTGGGGGTGGGTGGGGGGAAGAGAAAGTTAAAACTGAACAGGTTTTTATTTCAAAATTGGCAACCAATTTAAAGATGCTGCATGTCAAAATGGACTTGAGAAACCAAATAAAGCATGTTTTGTGTGGAGACTAGACATGCATGCAGTGCACTTAATCTGTATGGGCTGTGTTCCACTTGTAGAACCTGACTTATTTATATTCCATTTATGTGCTTGTGGTTTCTGTTTATAGACACAAGTCTGCCAGTATCCCCACTAAGCAAAAGTGCCATTCCACTAATGCTCATTGCAGTTGAGGAGATAAGGGAGCAAGATTTTCTTTTGAGTAAATACTACATATTAAACTATTTTTAATATTTTTAACGGCTAGAATTGCATTGCATTTGTTGCTGAAATTTGCCTGGGAAAACCAGCTGTCCAGAATAAAAGTAACAATCTCATTTTCTTCTCTTGTTTTTGTTTCACTGGCAACCAATGGTGATCTCGATATCAACAGCAACAGCAGCTTCAGGCTCAACATCTGTCCCATGGCCATGGACCTCCAGTGCCTCTCACCCCTCACCCATCAGGACTCCAGCCTCCATCAATCCCCACACTTGGCGGTAGCGCAGGCCTATTGGCCCTATCAAGTGCTTTGGGTGGACAGTCCCACCTTTCCATGAAAGATGATAAGAAACACCATGATGCGGATCACCACAGAGGTGAGAGGCAAGGCAGACCTGACTAGAACTGTTTTGAGAATTTAGATCCTTTTGCAGCTAGTTTTCTTTTGTACAGCTTTCAAAACAATATCAGATGCAAAAAAAAATTCATACCTGTTGCCTGAACATTTTGTCCTTTTAACCCAGAATTTGGAACTGTGAGCCCATTGCATTATGAAAAAATTGTATATAGTTTTCTGTGATGTAATATGACCCAGGTTACAAGTGCTATGCCACGTTGAACTGCCAATATAGTACCATATGTCCCCAGTATAATGGGATGTACTACAGCAGTTCCCACCTGCTATCAGTACCAAATTCTTTTTGAAAAGGAAAACAACACAAAAATGCAATGCCTTCTTTGGAACAGAAATTGAAGGGCAAGATTAATGTATGCTCATGCCATTGTGTGCAGTTAGTTTAACTTGGCAAGATCACTTTTGGTTCTTAATGTAATTGTATTTTCAGGACCCCATGGTGAGTCTGGAGGGCATCCCGTTGTAATGAAGCAGACGTTTTATGATGGGCAAGGGGATTCCACTCCACAGCATTGGCGCCAATACTTTTTGTAATGTGTGCTGTCTTATAGACTGATCTCAACTGTCTACTTTTTGTTCCAATCCCTTCTGAATACCTATTAAAACTTGGCCGTTTCTCAAAAGGACCAGACAAATGGTCCAAAATCTATGCGTACACCAGATAAGCCAGTAAACGAATGCATCCTAATGTACCTTAATGCTGTGAAGTGGAAGTGGCAATCAAACCCTCTGTTTCCTATGGTTATTGCAGCATATTTGCTTCATTGATGCTGTGTTGAACTCACAGCTCTGTTGCCTCTTGAGGTGTGGACCTGAGGCATCCAGAAGCAGCATTACCAATGGATACAATGAAACTCATCTCTAATGGTTCCTGGTTGCCAGTTTTTGAGTATTTTTGCACTTTTCAGCATTAGTAAATTTTCCCCAATGCACAAACTGCACTGAACCATAAAGTGAACTCACAACCATTCAGTGCAGGTGAGACCAGACTAGATTGCGCTATTTGACCTAAAAAGGCCCTTACAAATTGTGAAGTAATAATATGGTTCTTAATCCAAATATTGGTAATTGGAATGGATTTGCCTTAAGCATTCCATAAGATTTTTGAGTGAAGTTGAAGAAATAGTAAGCAATCTAGGTTCTCTTTCATGATTTTCTTTTCTAACCTGCCGACTAATTCAGAGGAGGGAGGAAAATGTGGCAGGTGAAGCCGAGTGGCAGGATGGCAACCATATTCTAAACTTTACCATGAAAAGTGTATTCTGCAGCATCAGCCAAAATGATATAATCCTCCTTGCCCACTCCTCTTTCACGCCCCCGCTCCCCCCATATAGCCAATTGCCACCAGGCTGCCTTGCTGGTCTTGGAGTATAATTTGTAAATTGATGAATTCCTCAAAATAAATATATGATCCTGTAAGTCATGGTCCATATTCCTCGCCACATCTGTAAATCTATGCAAATTTTCCAGAACTAATAAATTCTATTAAAAATGAATTTTGCAATTAAAAGTGCAATAAGATTGTCTTTATATTTAAAGAAAAGCTTTATGAAACGGTAACTTTAGTTATCCAGCCAGCAATTTTTCTAGATACTCTGAAGTAGGGAAGTAACCATCTTAGCGATGCTGTGACATACGGTCATTATGCATAAACAAAATTTGTATTTGCTGCTGACTGGATGGCAGCATTGATTTGATTCGCAGATCCTTAGTTTGCGAGATGAGGAACCAGGTTTGAACAACTTGATTTCTGACTTGATAGCAAATTGTTGCTTGTGACTATGAAGTATTGGACAAATTGTGGAATCTAGTTCGTAAAATTTGACTATTTTTATGTCCATGGTGGACTTGAATCATACTGTTTTCTGGTGTCTGAAGCCAGCTTTCTTTTTTTAGAAAAAAGTAAACCTCTGGATTTGCTGAAATATCAAGCCATGTGCAAACCAAATAAAGCAACCAGATTCGGTCTAGTCAACAGGGGGAAAAAAGGAAGTAAAGTTGAGGTGGTTGTTAGAGGAGACAACAATTATTTTGTCTTCCAACAATTATTTTAATGGTTATGACACCACTATATTCCTCGTTGTAGCACATTTGGGACTTCAGGTTGCAAATGGGTATAGTGAGGAGGAAGAAACGGTCAATTATCTTTAAACTATTCTCTTTCCTTTAAACCTACTCCCAGAAGATTTGTCTGCCTGCAAAAAAAAAAAAAATTTTTTCTCAGTCAAACACTTGCCAGCCTTGGAGATTGTTGAATTTCAGTTTATATTTTTTTTCTTTAAAACATCTTGCTTGTGAAATCTGTTGTCAGATAGAATGATTTAAATGGGGGCTCATCTCTATCATAAAAAGGCTATCATTTCTATATCATTGAATAGATATTGGGAAAGTGTAAATTGGGCTGTTGCCAGTGAATGTCACCTCCTTTAACCTGATCTAAACTTAAAAGTATAAGTTTTATCATTTCTTCCTCCAACTCTCAACTCCCACTAAAGTTCGACAGCTGTAGGATACCATTCTTTCCACAGTGGCTTAGCATTCTACTTCAGTTATGGGAAAGTAACAGGGAATGGTGATGTGGCAAACTTGCACCCCCAGATTTGTGCAAAGCAACAATCTGAGGCGAGTGACAATCTGATGTCACTGCCTCCACAACGGCACATGATTGCATATGCATACATTATTGTATATATTATATATTAATATATAATATATGCAGTAGGCAATAGGCTTTGCCCTGTTCAGGTTCTTGTTTTGCTACCAGTAGCACCTTTTTTTATGCTGAAGAGCAACTGTAGCGTTGCGTGCCAACTGCTAAACCTATCCTGGGACGTGGTGGTAAAGTGTCACTTATACAGCTTTATTTATTTTGGCAGATTCAAGCTAAATGCAGCATGAGTAGTTAAACGACCATAGTGTTATGAAAAGGACTTTTTTTATTAGCATTGTTCTTCTAGAGTGTGTTTGGCACAAAAAATGATCTCAAGTTATATTATCCTGATACTAGTTAATCTTAAATCTTACTACCATTTTCGTAATACTTTTCCTCCCTCACTTCACAACCTTACAATTTATAGTGGCTGGTTGCACTAAGCAAAAAGGCAGATTGAAGTTGCTTGTGTTTTTACTGCAGTTTTATTCACATTTTTATGGCTTGCAGCATTTTTACTACTACTGATAAAGCAAACTGTTTTGATGGACAATGACATCACCAAAAAAACATCCATACTGTTTGTCTTTGAAATTTGTACAGAGGTTTCTGCAAATACAAGAAAAAATGGATGTTGCTAGGTCTCCAGTTAAAATTATGTCAAATCATTTTGCTCCTGTTAAATTGGACATTTTTCTTTTTTGGGGGGATCAAAATCCTGTATTGAGGACAATTGATGTGCTGTGAATCCGTTTTATTTAATGAATAAGAATTGCACTTGCCGAAATAACTCTTGTTGCCATTTAATTTAATAACAATCCAGTAATTTATTCTGTTTTGGTTCCAAGATCAAGAGTTGTTATGCAAAGAACTGTTGTACCTATAATGTTAAAAGTACAAGTGGAACTTTAAAAGATGTATTAGGAATGTGCAATGAATTGTATGAATAAAAGCTGTTATGAAAGCATCTGTTGGCTTGCGTTCTAATTTCTTTTTTCTTTGTTCTTTTTTTGCCCTTGTGTCTGAACCATCATGTCTATGCATTTTGTGGTTACTGTGGAAACAGAGCGAGACCCGGGCACAGTAAGTACATCTAATATCCCACTTCCACTATGTATTCAGTACCTTTTCTGTTTATAAAAGAGCAGGTAGTAAGGCACAATTCTGCCAAATGGAAGCAGATAAAAGCTTGTAAATAAGTTTCACTGAAACATCTTCCATCTAAATAAAATAACTTAATCCCCTCTTTATAATGTGGACCTACTGAGTCCAGTTTATTCTGGTTCAAAATAGCTTATTAGTCATTTTCTATCTTCCTTCCCATACCTCCAAATCTTTATGCTGAAGTTCCATCAAAGATAAGTGACAGATGCACACTGATAACGTCAGATAATTTGGCATTCTATTGGCTATATCTTGTGCATATCTCTTACTATGATGTACTAATCTTTAATCTACAAGTTTGTACTCTATTGTAGGTAAATTCTGAACCGTTCATACCAAACTTTGAGCTACATTCAAGCTAGATTATCAAAAAAGGTTAAAAGTGCATTTGGCCTTTTTGTAGTTAAATAGGAGCTACATCTGTGATTTGACTCTTGATAACCATAGCTTCTCTTCTCTCCCCACCCCACTTCCCTGTCCACAACAATATAAAATTCCCACAATATTTACTAAGAGTTGTGCTAAAGCATCTTGGTTATGCTGTGCCATCAATGTTGCATTATGTCCATGTACCTACTCTTCGAGTGTTAATCAGCCAGGCAATGCAGTTTTGTTTACCTATTGAGGAAAAACAAATTGTATTTTTCTGTGTGTGTGTTCAATTGCACTTTAGTTTCATAGTCTTGGTGTGTTGGCAGTTAACATTTTTTTTCACAAGGGTTTGCACCACAGGAACACGATTTGGAACCTATCACAAATTTACTGTGTAAAGTGATGCAACAACATTAGTTAGCATGAGCGTGCTGGTAGCATTTATGATGGCAGACATTTTTTTTCAAAAATCAAGGAAGTATTCCTGCACTAATTTTCCAGCGATGATTATTCAAAGCTGCGTTTAAAAAAAATCTGCCCAAATGTTGTTACAGTTGAGTGATTTATGGTGTATTTGCAGCACAATGGTGGCAAACAATCCAAGCGCTGACCCAATATTGTGATTCCCATTTGTTTCCTAACATGGGAAAACAGTGGCCACTTAGTATAGTGCAAGGATTGTAATGATTCTATTGTTGAGTTTCCACACACAAGAAAATAATCTTGACCAGTTAATTTCCTCTTGTGGCCAAATTTCCCTTGAGCTTAAAATTTCATTTGCCATCTCTCCTTATGGGCAAAACTTCCCAGTGAATTTAATTACTGTAAATTTAAAATGATCCATCAAGCTCAAGCTGTTTTGGACCTGACAAGAGGTTTAGGTGGCTGCACTTACCAAAGCACTTGACGTCTATGTTTACCTCCAGAGAGCTTAATGAATGTAACCATACATCTGTCAGACTTACCTCAGATGTTCATTTATCACTTGCTCTCCCACTGCTGAGAGATTATACTGTGAATGCATAGAAATGCAAATATCTCAGCAGTAGCTGAAACATTATGAGCAAGTTGTGGTCAGTAGAACACTATTGTGCACAGTACTTAGCAAAACTTGTGGGAGCATTAGCTCATCAAAGATTGAGACACTGTATGCTTGGTTGATGTAGTATTTAGTTAACCAGCTACTGGTTTTCATATAGCCTGTGGCTGCTGATGCCTGGAAGCCACCTTGTTTACCTTGTTGGGTGGAATACTGAGCACTGACATCACTGGAATTTGTAAGGCTTGACTTGCAACTATTTTATTCCAATCTTTGGGAATTTCTAGATAGTTCATTGATGCTGAGTAGTGCTGGGTGGCCTGATAGGTCAGATCCTGACTGATAGTGGACTTTATGAAGGCCGCCTTCATTGCTGTGTCAGGATGATGACGCTTCAGAGTTTGCACGAAGACAGCAACCATTGGCTAGAATTGTTTTGGGCGAGGGAATGGACATCAAATGTGGGCAGTATCTGGCTTGGCTCTGATGTTTTTAGGTGAAATAACATGTTGGTATTTTGTTTCACTGCTCACGTGAACAATGGCCCATGGTTGAGGTACTAGAGAAGGGGGAATGTCTGGCACCCAAATTGCGCACATTCAGAAGAAGGTGGGGAAACAAAGACACAAAAGAAAATAATGGCTTGCATTGCAAATAAAAGAAAAACATAAGAACCACACCACCAACTGAACCACTTCTTTTTTGAGAAGTGGACCCAGGGTCCCTACCCAGCTGTATGTCACTCTTAGGTTTCTACTAATCATGATGCGACCAATGGAATTTGTTGTCTGCTCGACTTCAAAATTGTTTTGATCCAAGTGAGTGACATATACTGCACTGATTTTGATTAGCTTAATTTACAGTCTGATGTCTGGAGTTAACCTTTGGGGTGCTAGCAGATCCATGAATCTGATCTACATTACGACTCATAAAGCACCTTTCTCGTCACGAGGACGCCTCAAAGCACTTCACAATGCTGGATGGATACTCAAGCTGAGGGGAGGGCGGGCGGGATCTGCTTCTGTCCCCATGAGTTGACTATTTCTGAAGATGTTTAGCTCACACACTGGAATTGAAAAAATAGCAAAAACTACTACTCTGACATCAGGACAGCTTTATTATCGTAATTTTACTTTCAACCCACTAAAATTACATTTTTAAATAACTTTTTAAAACTTTACCTTACACATGTCCTGTTTTTCATATTTTCCCCTTTCCTGTTCCCTGCAATTTTATCCCAAAACATTTTTTTAAATTGTAACTAAATTTTCCTACTTTTCAAATTACCTTTTCTGCTTTTTCTAGCTCCCACTTAACAGAGAACATTTGAGTTATTTAATTGAAAGTTACTGTGTCAATACAATTGTTGCTGTTGAAACAACAGACTAACTTAAAGATGGAAGATTGACTCCAGAAAACAGCAAGCAGGTCAAATGCTGCAGTTTTCCTGTCCAAAGCAAGAAGTAAGGGTCAGGAAATGGTATACTTATTGACTGACCATCTATGTTGAGTGAACTACAACAAATTACATTTGTATAGCGCCTTTCACGTCGGGAGGTCATCTCAAGGCACTGGATATAGGAATTTGGACCCGAGCAAGGAAGTTGGGATCAGGAGAGTAGGTGGGGATAGGAGGGTGACTGAAGGCGTGGTTGAAGAGGAGGGTCTTGAGACATGGCTTGAAGGCCGTAAGGGAGGGAGCAAGATGAAGGGGCTCTGGGGTGGCATTCCAAAGGATAGAGGCAGAGGCTGAAAGCCCGACCCCGGATGGTGGAGCAGACCAGGTGAAGGATGTGGAACAGGTCACAGAGGTAGGAAGGAGCCAGGCTGTGAAAGGCTTTGAAGGCGAGGACGAGGATTTTGAATTTGATCCTCTGGGGGTTGGGGAGCCGGGCTAGGGTGGGGATGATGGGGTCATGGAGCCTAGTGCAGCAAAGGACACGAGCTGCAGAGTTCTGAATGATTCGCAGCTTGTGGAGGGAAGAGTTGGGAAGATCGACAAGTAGGGAATTGGCGGAGACTAGCCTAGATGTAATAAATGCATGGATGTAGCCAGTCAATGCTCTCTTCAAGATTGGTGGATAACTTTAAATGATTCCCTATGTGACAATATCGCCTTTTTGAAGATTCTGCTGCATCTTTAGATTAATCTCTTCCAACTCCATCCCTATAAAACACTACTGATATAATGCTAATTCTCCCTCTAACATTACGATCTCGCTGTTCTTCCATAGTGCACAAAATCAATTTGTGCAGCCATGTGCAGAACGAAGCTGAGTACTCAAGATTTATGCTCCATTTATACTGCAGCGTAGCAATTTTCACATTGAATAGATGTTAAAAGTCCAGGATATAGTTTCAGAAAGGAATCGATGCCATCAGCTGCAATATAAATCTAGTTATACTACAGCCGAATCCAATAAAAAATGTAATTATAAAAATACATTTAAAGATCCTTTGGCTATCCATTGGCTGGTACTAACTGAACATCTGAAGCGACAATGTTTGCACACATCTCTTCATTGCTCTTGGATTTTTCTCTCCTTTCTCCCACTCCCTCCCCAGCATGTAAATTGTGTTATTCATCAATATTAAATGCTAATTTTAATGTTGATTTTTAGTCCAAACCATTGAAAAGCAAAGTGGGTAATGGAGCAGGACTTTTAATGCCAAAGGCATGTTGAAATTTGTCTTTTAACCCTCAATTTATTAGAGTTATCATTAATTGAATATTTAAATAATGCTTTATATTTTACTTAAACCTTCACTTGTTCCTGATTCTTCCAATACCAACTTCAACTCTGTGGTGGTTGTCTGGATAGCCTCATGCTGGTTGCCTAGGAGTTAAACATTTCAAACTGTTATACATGACTAAATGTCTCTGATTGACAGGAATCCTCTTTTTGCCCAGAATAGATAGCCTATTCCCATTTTAAAATAATAGGATGAATTGGTACAATTTACATAGTGGGGGTAATCTCAGTTTGCTTTGGGGCATGGTTTTTTCAATTAATTTAAATCTATGTCTATTAATTACTCTTTGACCTCTAAAGGAACTACTGAAAATTATCCATATTTTTCTGTAAAATTCCTGATCTGCTACACTCTTGATTTTTTTTGCTATTCAATGGACATGATGGCCCAGTGAAAATCCTCTGCTTCCTCTGTAATATCCTAATTGCTCTCCTCATGTGTATAAAGATCATCTTTGAAAATTACATCCTTTTAACGCTAGAACATATTTTATTCTTTCCCACATTGTGTTTCTTTCATTAAGATGCAGTTAGCCATACATGCATAAAGCGTATCATAATGAGTATGTAGGTGAATTAAAATGTCATAATTTGCACCAGGTGCAGCATAGAATTATCACATAATATTACTTGGAGCTTAATGACTATCTAATTGTTTAAATGTGTGGCACACCAAGTTATTTATCAACACTATGAGCTCATTCGTGCATTAACCACATTATGCTTGGGTTAGGCTAGTGAGGATAAATGAGTTG